AGCAAAGTTTCTACAGCTTAATATTTTTGTGGAAACCATGAATCCTTCTTTCAGGATTTTTTGATGAATAGAAAGTTCAATGAACCGCAAATATTTAACATTTTAACTGTAAAATTAAGAGACTTTTTTCAAAAACATAAATATATATATATATATATATATATATATATATATATATATATATATATATATATATATATGCATACATATATACATATGTATGCGTGTGTGTGTATTTGTGCATAGAGTGTTTGCTAATACAGTTATTTACTTATAAAAGTTGTAAATGCAGAAGTAGTGATAACGATATGTTTAGAATAAATTCTTTATTAATAGAAAGCTGGTGTTAAATAAAGTTAATAATGGCAGTATTGCATTTTTATTTATCATATCATCCTTGTGTGTGTTTTCAGGCTGGTAATGGGTTAAGAAGAAACGTTTCACTGCTGTTCTGGCTTGTCCTAGATGCCAACCGAGGACCGTGCAGACCTACATGATGTGTTTCTCATGTATGTGGTATGTCAATCTATAATTGATGACTGATCTTTCCATCTCTGTCCTTTTTTTATCGCCATAAATAGTGACTTGGTCTAGCACTGCAAACTGCAAATGCAGCCTAAATGCAAGAATATACATCAATACAGAGCGTGAGAAGATGGAAAACATAGTAATATTGATCACCTCTGCCTGCAACCTGTAAATTGTATGTTTTTAGGCCAGATTGAGTAAAATAATCAAATCCAAGACAACAAACATCTTGGGATAAAGTATGCACACAGAAGTACTGTGGCATTGCACCAACCTCAGAGGGTTGCTATGGTTATAAATTATGTCCAATCTCTTCTTCAGAAAACTAGGACGCAGACCAAGAGCACAACTTTCAACCAGCCAAATGTTACACCAAAAATATGCTATTTAAAACGAAAAAAGGACTGTCTGTTCTTAAACTGAGGCACAATATAGCTGCTCTATTTTTGACTGTTTTAAGTCACATCAAAAGACTTCTGTCAGGATCTAGACGATGATATATGTGGGTGCCTTAGTGAATTTTAAACTTTTTGTTATTTTTAAACCATTTTCTCTATACATGCGTTTCCTAATTATTGACGACTGCGAACAGGGAACATTTTATGGTGTTTCAAGGTTGTGCACAGTTATGTGTGACAGTTTATTTACATCTTTATTTTACTCTGTAAAGGTAGATAGATAGACTGTCAGGATTATGAACCTGTTTTGCCCCTGTTTCTGTTTCAGTGTTCCCTTATTTGGTCATGTTCCTGTTCTTGTTGTCTCATTATTAGTTGATTCCCCGCACCTGTCTGTCCCTCGTTAAGTTTAGTATAAATGTGTAGTCTGCCTCATGTTTCCTGGTCGGGTCTTGAACGTCTTCCTTGTGCTCTGTCTCCCTGTTGGATTATTAAAGACTCTCGTTTTGTGAAATCTCCACGTTTCCTAGTTCCTCCCGTAAGCAAAGTGTGACATATACAGTAGCTTGATAGATAGATATGTTTATTATATGTTTGTATTATAACAACACCCTGGCAAACACCCAGAACACCCTGGCATTTTGGCAGCAGATTTTGCATGGGCAAGCACCGCTCATATTTCTTTCAAAAAAATGTTTAGTGGCATCTGCTGTCAAGTTCAATAAATTAGTTCACCGTTGGAGTTCTCAGCCTGCGGCTAGTTTGCAAAGCAAACAACAGGGCTAATGCCAGAAAGGCCAGGAAAACAAGAATGAAGCAGCTATGTTAAATTGCATTATCTAGCGTTGCTGAATCTCATTCGTCAATTTACAAAACAACCACACCATCTCTGATGAGAATTATAAAAGTTATCTCTATGGGTCTGCCATAGAG